GGAATCCTGGTTTTCTGCCAAGCCATGCTGTGATACCAGCCACTCACTTTCTTCAGAAGCCCCTGTTTTGTGTATGTATTTAATGAGTAACTATGCATCATTTTTATTCATATATGTAAGAATTATAAAATGACTTGAGGGATTTTGTGGATTAAAATATGGTACATGTGAGGACAAACTTGAAAAAATTCTTCCTGAAGACAGTAGGGGTAAAGGAATCCCCAGCTTCCAAACCGAGGGACCCTCTGTCAGGCAGCTTTGCTTTTTTTTTTTTTTTTAATGGTAAGAATGAAATTGAATTAACGTGAGATCTGCTGTCCTAAAGTTTTTGTGTATAATACGGTATTGTTCACTATAGGCACAATGTTATACAGCAGATCTCTAGAATTTAATCAGCTTGCATAACTAAACCTTTGCTTTGCCTTGAAGCGTTCTCATAGTCAAGGCAAAAGGAGAATGAGATATGAACAGGATTTCTTTGTCTTGAGCCCTTATTCTTAGGACAATGTGTTCAGAGTCATCCCTGGTATAAAATCTAAACTGTTGATCCTCTTCAGAGGCTCGGCTGCAGGTGTTGTGAATGGGCTCTCAGGTTGCAGTTGTTTTATAGTATCCTGGAGTGACTTTGGATGCTGCAACTCCTAAGGAGCAAAGAGGGTTTTAATTCTCCTCACCCTGCTTCTTTATCAGCATGTAATTCCTCCAGTTTTAGTTTTCCTTTATCCTTATACCTTCCCTCCTCTTCCCCCAAATTTGTTCTAATTATTAGACCAAGAAATCAGACTGTGAAATCCATAAATGACCAAGAAGGTATTTTCCTGGCTAAAATGTCAGAAATATTATTGGTATTTCTGGTACTCTATAGTTCACAAAGCCCCTTTACAGACAATTTCCTTCCACCTTCATAAAAAGGATTTGCCCAAGTTATAAAGGTGTATATTATGAAAGAACTTGAGACTTGAAGGAATTTGAACACTGCTTGGCTTTGCATCTAGATATTTGACTTGGAAGGCTAGTCTTTAAATACTGCTCTATTTAAAGTAATTGACTAATATTTGTGCGTGGGAGGTGACAAAATTGGATGTAATAATCCTAGAATTATTTAGTAACATTGTTATGCCTGGCATAACAACAGGCTTATGCACATTTTAAATGAGAAAAGCTAATGTGTTTGTTTTAGCCTGAGATGGATTGTGTTGTAACAGTTGCGATTGTACCATGAGGCATTTAAAAGAAGCAAAGCACAATAGAGAAACAATCCCAGAACGCAGCAGGTCCAGCTTTCCAAGGAAAACTGAGCGATGTATGTTATGACTCTTGGACCCACCATGGTCCTTCTAGAGCCAGGATATCCCACCGCCAGGATAAGGCCTGCATGCAGCCTCGTGCGAACACAAATCAGGATTGGGGAAATGAAGAATGCAGGGTGCCCCTTCAGAAGACCCCCCCCCAATGCAAGAGGAGGGGCCAGCCTGGATCTTCAACATGCTGGGGTCTCAGAGTGGGAGCCCTAATTAGCTAGAATGTTCTAGTGACGCTCTTCTGGGCAGTAGCCATCACACTTGCACATTAACACGCACTGTGCCCGTTTTGTCCCCTCTCCCGTCACAGTGGCCATTCCCACTCCTTTTACAGACCAACCATTTCACATGGCCGCCTCTCTCACCAGACCTCTGCCCCAGCTTCCTAACTGGCTTCCCTGTTTCCATGGTGCTCCCCTATAGTCTGTCCTTTGCCCGCAGCAATCCAGATTATATAACTATCTCCTTACCTAATCATGGCTTGTTTGCACTTAGAATGAAGATTCGAACTTCATATCTGCCCACCAGGTTCCACGTGATCTGGCTCCTGCCTGAGTCTCGGCACGCTCGCTCTTGCTCGCTCGCCCTCCCTCCCTCTCTCTCTCCCCCTCTCCCTCCCTCCCCCCTTCCCAGCCCCACTTCACACCGCTGATCTGCCCCCCAGGGCCCCGTACTTGGCGTTTCCTAGGCCTGGAACCCTCGCCTCATCTTTGCATGGCTGCTCCCTCTTACCTGTCAGACCTCAATTCAAAACCCCCTCAGGAGGACCTCCCTGGCTCCCCTCCCTGAAGTGAGTGTCCTCCCTCTGAGGGCTTCCCAGGATCTGTGGTGAATGACTGGTTTTTCCATTTCCAAGTCACCATGGATGGATATTTTTGTGACAAAGACGTCTCAGCAGTGTCACTCTCAGTCTCTACTCGTCTCATCCTGGGCTGGCAGCAAATAGTTCAGGACCAGCACAGGCTGTGGACACTGCCTTACGTAGCAGCGTCGCTCCACGATTGCCCTGCGTGTGCCCTGACTGCTCTGTCACCTGCTGGCTTGTGTTTTGTCTCGCCCCGTAGAATGTTAGCTCCACGATGGCAGGGAGCTAGCCTTGGCCTTGCTGCCGCTCCATCCACAGCACCAGGAGCAGGGCTGATACACATACCAGGCTCTTACTAAATCCTTGTTGATGCTCTAGCACCGGACGTGCCTGTCCTGCCCGGTCCAGCCTCAGTGGGAGGAAATCATAGGAGGCCCAGGCTACCCCCACCTTTTCCCCGGGTGGGCTTGCTTTGTCTCCACATCCAGTATCAGGCATGGAGTTGGTTTCAGTCACTGTCACAATGACTGGAATAAAGTAATTCTGGCTTCAGAGCTATTGCTAACTCTCACTGTGTGACCTTGACCAGTGAGTTCAATATCGCTTGCCTCCATTTCCATATCTGTCAAGAAGGCATGACATTTCCTTCCCTCATGAAGCCAGGTAATGCTTCTGTACACACATAGTGATTTCCAGAGTGCTGCCCCTGAGTGGCTTCACAGCTGTGTATCAATTTTGTAACTAAATAACAAAAGCTAATTTCTTTGTTTTAATGAGGTAGAGTCAGCTCAGCAAACTTCTTTTGTAAAGGGCCGCATATTAAATATTATAGGTGATGTGAGTCACATAGGCCTCCCTTGGGTTCCCCCACACACACATACACACACAAATCTTTAAAAATATAAAAACTATTATTAGCTTGAGTGCCATAGGAAAGCAAGCTAAGGTGAGGCTTGCTATGTCCTAGCAATAGGCAACTGGAATTGCATTTCTCTGGGCATCAATAAATATTATTTTCTGTTTGAATGAAATAAGAAATGGCACCTGTAACAGTTTCATTTCTCTTGAATTGTTCCTCTTGCAAAAAAGATTGTTCGTCATTGTATTCATACTTCACATTCTTTCTGTCTCATTTTCAAGCACATTGTAGACATTAATGAATTTTAGGACAGCTGTCTCTTGACAAAGAATCGTGGTCCTCCAGAGCAGGGTTGGTGGTTTGTGTAGGAGAGCCCATGTAAAGACCGTTTTGAGCTGGAATGGGCCCTTAGCTCTGGGTGACCCATCCAAATGTGGACTCTGATGATGCATTTTGTCTGCCATTCAAAACATATCATGCTCTTAATTTCCTGAAGTTTTCTCCTGAAGGAGGGTTTGCCTGTTTGTAGACATCTGATTAAACCTTCAATCGAACTTAGAGCTCTTACCTTTATTCTTGTTTCATTTCTTACTAATAGGCAGACATGAGTTATTACGAGGCCCAGTTTTTACAGCATTAGGAGCTTCCTAACTGCTAAGGTATAAATAAGATCTAGTTGGCTACAACGGGTCTGTTTCCCTTCCTTTGCTGCCAGGTCTCCTGACTCCATGCAGCCCATCTCTTGCTCCTTGTATAAACTATTGTTGTTGATATTCTTACTCACTGCCACCCATTTTCCAATTTTTGAAAATAATTCTTAGGTTTCAAATTTAGTAAAGTTCTGTGTCGTTGACAAGGTAGTAGGTCTCGGAAAGATAGTAAGTCAAAAACAGCATTGATACAATAGTGCCTCAGGATCTCTAACTTTATGTCCTGTTGTCATTGGGATCCCTGCTGCTGACCGAGCCGGAACCTCGGCACATGATCTGAGCAGCAGTATAGTGTGTTTGTTAAGTCAGAGCCCAGAGTCAGGAGCCAGCTCTGGCGCTTCATAGCTTCATGATGCTGGGCAGCTTTTTAACCACTTGAGACTCAGTTTCCCCATCCATAAAGCTGTGCTAATTAAAGAGCCTTCTCCATTGGATTATAAGTTCCAAAAAAGTTAATGCTTGCCTGGTGCATAGCTAGTGCCACGTAAGTATTAGCTATTAGGATTTATTGAGGGAAAATATGCTTTTCTTGATACATATTTTTTAAATATTATTTTTCCTCCAGTTTTGAGATATAATTGACATGCAGCACTGTATAAGTTTAAGATGGATAGCATAATGATTTGACTTACATATATCATGAAATGATTATCACAATGTTTTGCTAACATCTATTATCTCATATAGATGCAAAAAAGAAAAAAAAAGTTTTTCCTTGTGATGAGAACTCAGGATTCACCCTCTTAACAACTTTCATGTATGTCATACAGCAGTGTTAAGTCTAGTCATCACGTTGGACATTACGTCTTTCGTGCTGATTTATAACTAGAAGTTTATACCTTTAGACCATCTTGATCCACTCCCCTCTGCCTCTTCTAACTGCAAACCTTACCTCTTTCTCTATGAGTTTCTTTGGATTTTTTTTGGTTTCACATATAAGTGAGATCATACAGTATAACATCTTTCCCTGCTGACTTATTTCACTTAGTGTAATGCCCTCAAGGTTCATCCATGTTGTCACAAATGATAGGATTTCCTCCTTTCTTATGGCTGAAATAATATTCCATTGTATATACATACATGCCACATTTTCTTCATCCATTCATCCATCAGTTGACACTTAGGTCGTTTCTATGTCTTAGCTATTGTAAATGATGCTTCTATGAATATGGGTGCAGATAATCTCTTCGACCTAGTGTTTTTGTTTCCTTTGGATATATTCCCAGAAGTGAAATTGCTGGATCTCACTGATACATATTAATGGATCACTTCCCATGGAAAATTTTGTATCTGACTTGCTTTGTCCATTTAAATTTTCTCTACAGGCTTTTGTGGAAGCCCAGAACAAGATTACTGTGCCATTTCTTGAGCAGTGTCCTATCAGAGGTTTATACAAAGAGAGAATGACTGAGCTATATGACTATCCCAAGTATAGTTGCCACTTCAAGAAAGGAAAACGGTATGTGAGGTTGCTTTCATTTAATTTTATTTTAATTTTTAAAGCCCTTTCTTAAATTTTAAAACAAATTCTAAATAACTTATTTTTCAGATTAATTCATTATAAAATAAATTCATTTCTATGCTTGAATCATATCTTTTGGTCTGTTGTTCAAATTCTTAAAATAAGATTTAAGAAATTTAGTATAATAGATGTCAGCTATAATTAAAAATAAATTTAAAAAAATAAAGCATACTCACCACAAACAAAAAAAGAAAGAAAGAAATTTAGGACAGATATGTCTTGGAAGAAATCTAGACTGTGGGAAATTTTCTTACGGCTAGTAATTGGTGAGATGCAATGCTTCATAGACAGCAGTGGAGATTTTTTTGCCTCTAAAATTAATTATCTTTGACTTGCACTCCTTGAAAAGATTTTATTATATGCATTTCTTGTGTCCAAAAATGGCCAAGAGGTGGCACATAATAATTGACCTCTTTTGTCCTCTCCCTCCACATCCACTTAAACATACTCTCTTGGTTTTTTAAGCCTCTTTGGAAGCACCATCACAAATTTACTTTAGAATTTCTTAGATCCTCCATTCCCACCGTGAATCAGCACAGTACAGTCTGCACACCAAGCCCTGCCCACCACCTGTTTTTGTAAATAAAGTTTAAATGGCACCTAACCATGTCCATTCATTTATGTATTATCCACGGCTGCCTTTGTACAACTGCAGAGTGGAGTAGTAGCTACAGTATGGCCCACAAAGCCTAAAATATTTGCAGTCTTGCCCGTTACAGAATAGGTTTGCCTACCCCTACCTAACAGCTTGGCTAGAGAAGGAAACCAGCATTTTATTTTAGAAAATCTGCTTCTCCATTGAAAATAAAAAGCTACTGCTTTATTTCAATATTAGTATTAATTTTAGCAAGTAACACAGTCTTTATTTGTCTCCTTTTAGCTAGTATGCAGAATTACAATACATTAAATTATTTGAACACCTAATGTAATTTAGATAACAAACTCTAGGTACAGGGAGATAGCGGACCTTCCACCCTATCCCGCATGTCCCTGGCATGACCTGCTTGCAGTAGTATCTTCCTGGTCCAGTTGTATCTTTTTGTTTATATGTGTTTGGTTTTACTCCACATATAGGAAACTCCATAGCTAAATAAAGATTATCTCTGTCCCCAGGTATTTCTATTTTTACAATACAGGTTTGCAGAACCAGCGAGTATTATATGTACAGGATTCCTTAGAGGGTGAAGCCAGAGTATTCCTAGACCCCAACATACTCTCCGACGATGGCACGGTGGCACTTCGAGGTGAGTGCTCCACAGCTAGGCCCACGGGAGTCCCAGGGCCCTCGCTCACAGCTCTGATGTTGGTACAGTCACCTCACCTCTGAAATACCAGACAGAACATGGACCATATTGCAGAACAGATGCACATGTAATATCAGGAAAGCTAGTTTTTGCATAGTGTATTTAGAACACATGAGTAGTCACATGTTCTTCTGATGGCATGAGGCAGAGCTGGAGAGTACTTCACACCGGACCCAAAT